CAGAATCGGGGATTTGCAGAAGGCTGCCCATGCTCGAGACACCAGAACCCTCTACGCTGGCGTGCGCTCCTTGGCCCCGAAACAGCATAGAGTCAAAGTTCAGCTGCGAGACCCGCAAGGTCGACTTCAGGACCCTGCTGAACAGCTCCAGCAGCTGGAAAAGCACTACAGAGGCCTTTATGCCGCGGACTCTGATTCTGAGACGGCGGGTCCCCCTCGCGCTGCGGTCCAACTGGATATTGACCCTGTGGCACTAGCCAAGGCCTTGGCTACGTTGTCTCCTTACAAAGCCACTCCACCGGACCTCGCCTCCAACGCTCTTTGGCGTATTACATCTGATGTTGTGGCCCCTGTGATCGCCCACTGGGCCAAGGAGTGGACCAGCATCCCCCAGCTGTGGAGGAATGCGTGGCTCGTCCTGGTACCGTTGTCTCCGAAGAACTTAGGCCTGACTGAATCCAGTGGGCGAGCTTACGCCAGAATGCTTCAGGCACAACTTCGACCCTTCGCCGCTGAATATCTCCGAGGCATCACACAATTTGCCTACCTTCCGCACAGGGATGCGGCTATGGCCATCCAGCGAGTAGCTGCACACTGCAGGTATGTGGAGCAGAAGTGCTCCCACACCACTCGTACAGTGGCGGATCGGCAGGAGTGCCTACCAGCTTCTGCTCCTAGCTTCGTGGGAATCCAACTATCGTTGGATCTCTCCAGCGCTTTTGACCTTGTCAGATGGCAATTGCTGGACAGAGCTATGGCCGAGGCGGGGGTACCGACGGAACTCCGTCATGAGGTCATGTCGTGGTACTATCACATTTGCTATATGGTGGAACACCTAGGCAAAAAGACGGAGATAATTGCCCAACAAGGCCTGCGCCAAGGCTGCCAATTAGCTCCCACCCTGTGGGCTATGGCTGTGGGCTGTATCTATAAGCACATCCGGGACAGCTCATCTCCAGACACTATGCTATCCTGGCTTCAGGCCAACTCCACCACCTACGCCGACGACATACACCTCAAGGAGACTGCGACCGCTACCACAGGTCTGGACAAGGCTCTCTACCGATTTGGGCTAGTGCTTGATGCTCTGGCTGACCAGGGGATGCTCATCAATGCTGGGAAGTCAGCTTTCCTCCTTAGACACTGCGGATCCTTCCTCAAGAAATGGAGGCGACGACACTACCTCTCCACGTCGGAGGGTGACTTCCTACTCTTTCGCACTCCTGGAGGAACCACGTACCGCATCCCTTTGCGGAGCAGCACACTTATCTGGGAGTCCGGATCTCATATCATGCCATGGCGAGCCACACGGCCCTACATCGCATTCAGGCAGCCAATGCAGCCTGGCAACGCCTGAGGCGAATTCTCTGTTCTCCCAGGCAGCTCCAGCTAACAGCTCGAATTTCGCTCTGGAAATCGACTGTGCTGCCAACCCTGCTCTATGGCCTGGCCGCAGTGCGACTAGGTCCGAAAGATATTGGGAGAGTGCAGGCCCTCATCATCAAACACGCCCGCGCCATGGCGCACTCGTACGTGCACTTGCAACAGGAGTCCACCATAAATGTACATGATCGTCTGAGGGTCCCCACGGCCCTAGACAGCCTCATGAAGGAGGCCACTGCTCTACATAGGCGGCTGTGTCTTCTTCAGGATCACTCTGACTTCGTCCAGGCGTCTGCCGTCGAGGACATCCGAGAACAAGCAGCCACGCTCCAAGCCTCGAGGGAGGTGCAGTGGACTGCCCCTACTGAACCGGAGGCAGGGCTGCTGCCTCACACCTGTGTGGAATGTGGCCAGGGCTTTGCATCCTTCCGTCTCCTGAGATCGCACGAGGCTAAGAAGCATGGACAGCGCACACCCCAGTGCGACACTCAACCTTTTGATCGATTTGCGCACGGCACTGGTGGCCTGCCCACCTGTAGGCATTGTGGACATCGCTTCAGGCAGTGGGACAATCTGATCAAACATATCAAGAAGAATCGCTGCAAGGTTCTCAGAGACAAGCTGCATTCTGCCCGAGCCCCCGAGCCAGCCGAAGGGGACCCTGCAGCCCTGCTGAATCCGCCTGAGCCGAATCCGAGGCAGGAAACAGCCCATGACCCGCTACCATCGGGTCCAGCAGAACCGAGACTCTGTGCAGAGGCCGCAAGCCCACCCGCTACAGATCTCTCTCCTTGCTGTCAGAAGACAATTGATGATGTGCAACCCCTTCCCTGTACCCCGACCACACCTCTTTGCACCTGGCAGGAGGTACAGGACGCACTGGACAAAGGAAGATGGTTCGACCTGCCCCTTAACCAGAAGGTGCAAGCCTATCTTGCACATCACTGTCCGATTTGCATGCAGTGGGCTGCGATACCAGGGGGGCTTAAATGCCATCTCACGGCTGTGCATCCGAATTGGAAGCCTCTGCAGTCGGAAGTTCGTCAGCTGCTCTCAGGGTTTAGACGGCACACTGTTGTGCCCTGTAGATATTGCCACCTCACTCAGATTAATAAGGATAGGCACTGGTATCAATGTCATGTTCTCAGTCTGTATGCCTTTGTAGCCGTGCAGCAACAACATGACGGGAGCGGAGATGGATCTGGACGAACAGGAAAAACTCTTCTTCGGTCAAATTGGGCCGCTCAAGAGAGATCAGACCGCACCCACCAGGGACCCGACCTCACAAGCACTGGGGAAGAGGCAACGCCTGGAGCACCAGGATCCACCCAAGGGACGAAGCAAGGGCAAAGGCAAGGGCAAAGGCAAGGGAAAGACGAACTCCCCGCTACCACAGGGAGTCTACCCGGCAGCGCGCATGTGGGCATACTCCAGTGGCTACGACGAAGATCTGGATCAGCCATGGGTGCCGGACAGGGCCTCTCGATCGACGTGGCTGGAGGGGAGAGTGGAGAAGCTCACCCAGCTTGCCTTGCGACAGGAACAGGTCATTGCATCCCTACGCCAGGACATGACGATGTACCTGTTCATGAAGACGGGGAACGATGGCATGATACCGGTCTTATGCCAGGCGGCGGACAAGTGGCGAACCATCAGGGAGGAAACACCGGACAAACTGAACTACTCCTTGAAGCTCACGATGTTCAAGCAGCTCTTGATCTCCCTTCAGGAGAGATTGACGGAGACGGCCAAGTCGCAGCAGGCTATGGAGCATGCTCGATCCCTGGGTTGGTTGGACAGCGACCAAAGCTGGAAAGTCCTGAAATGGAATCCGGCGCAGCAGGCCCTGGAGGTGGAGACTGCCCTTCGGGCCGTCTCGACAACAGATCTGCTGGCGCAGATCGTACAGGTCAGGAAGGCCACTACCGAGGAGACGTTGCTTCGCTTCAAAAGCATTCGTCCTCTCTCCACCGAGGTCACGACGGACTGGGTACAGTTCCAGATCGCAGTCTCCCTGCGGATGGACGGAGCCCCGCCGTGGAGCACGCTTCAACAATGGATCGGCCAATCCGCGTGGCACACCCTTGGGTGCCGCCTTCGACGCGACCGTCCGAACTACGACAATCTGGTGAGCCAGATTTGGAGTCGAGAGTGAGTGCGGTCCCCGGCCTCAAATCTGTGTTGAAGCTATCCCTGCACAATGCCACCAACTTGTGCTATCTCAACTCCACACTAGTGGCCTACATATGGACAGTCCTTCAGGCTCAGCTCCATGGGCCACGGAGACCGACGTTGGCCAAGGTCCTCAATCCGCTGCTACGCACCACCCAGGGTAGCTCTTGTGCACCGCTTAAGGTTGTGTCCCAATTGCCCTGGCGGGCCCTGCTTGGAAACTGGAGGCATCTGCATCAACAACATGATGTCGCAGAGCTTATTACCTACCTGCTTCCGAGGTTCTCCAATACAGGACTGGAGGCGAGTTGGGAGGCCCGACTTGACACACCGCAGGGTGTACACAAGCAGGATGGCGGAGAACTTGTCTCGCCTCTAATCATGGCCCTGCCAGCAGGGGGAGATCTGAGCCTCCAAAGGGTGATAGATCAGTGGCACTCTCAGGCGGCCCTTCACGCTCTCACGAGCGCTCCGACTTACTTGTGCATACAGCTACAGAGGTTCACGGGGGATTCAAGTGGTCTGCAACGAGACTCAAGGCCGCTGCAAGGGCACAGATCGACCGTTCGGCTTCCCTGTTTTGATGCTGATGCTAGTATTCACTGCTCCTGGGCTCTGTATCAGGTGGTCGCTGCGCAGCTCCACTTTGGCCACAGCCCGGACGCGGGACATTATCGATCTGTGCTTTACGGGCAAAAGAAGTTTGGGCATCCGAGAGCGTGGGTGACAGACGATAACACTGCTGCGCAGCTCGCAACTGACGACTATGTACGGAGCAGCTACCTACTCTGGCTGCGTCAGGTGCCTGAAGATGAGTGAAAGAAAGGATGGATGAGTTCAGCATTTGATAGAGCCGGCCGATGGCCCTCTAGATCCCAAGGAGGATCCAGGTACGCATGAATATCGTGCTACTTGTCAGCTCGCTAGGCGAAGACGGAC